AGTCTAAGGAAACTCCAGTGTTTCCACTACTGAGAAAAAAAATCTCTTTTTCCCAGACTTCATTGCTCAACTCCCTCAGCTTCATTAAAACTGGCGCTGTCAGGTGCCATCAGCTTTTCTGATGAGATTTCATCCACTTCTATCTCCCAGGAGTTTTTCAGCCTCTTGCAGCTTGTGTTAATGACAGGCTGAGCTTTTCTAGCTTTCACTACTGCTTGGCACGAGGGTTGTCTATAGTAGTTAAGATTTCTTTGAAGTGATCTGCACATCTGCTTTCCCTTCTGTATTAGCTGTGACTATTTTTTTCCTCTTTTTCTTTGTTTGGCACATTTCTTCCATTTACTCACATGCTGAAATACCATATTTTCCCATTACAGCAAAAGCTGTCCTTCCCTATAAAGCTTTGCACTAGTAGTTTAGCTTCTACTACTCCTTCTGTGCCTTCTTCCAATTTTATTTTTTTTATTCATTTCACTTTGGAGTTCTCCCTTGGCAAAAGGCCACATTTTCTGCCTGTGATTTTCTCCAGTTATGACTTTTATGGTTTAATAACATTGCTGCTGAGCTCATCTTGGGGCTGCTGAGTCACTTTCACCTCTGTTTGACAAAGCCTCAAATTAATTCCTTAGCATCAATCTTTCTCACAGTATCTTTCTGCAATGCCATTTTGTACTGTTTGCCAATGCTGACTACTACGTGAAGTCACTAATTTGCAGTTACATTTACAGGTTGGCAATGCCAAGATTTTGGTCAGAGGTACCAGTAATAGTTTGGAGTAATTGCATCTTGCACAAATGGGTTGAATTTTGTTTTGCCACCTATCAAACATGCAAGTCTATATGAGTAACCACAATGCTTTCAAGAAGAGGCATGAAATCTAATGTAACAAAAGAACAAAAGAATGGCTTTCTGATTCAGACTCTGGTGTCCTACCTGAGGTCACAGCCTGTGCTGCATTATTAAAGTAGAACAGCAGAGAATGATCCTTCCTACTCTCTTCTCCAGTTTCCAGCAACAAAAATTATGGACTTCCTGAACTTGATGTTTCACCAAAGCTACTGTGTTTAAGTAGCCAATAATGGAAATATTCTTCACATTTCCTTCTATTTGAAAAACTCTATTTGAATTGATTTATACTTTGGAATCCATTATATTTTTTGCCAATTAGTAACACAAAGCAATTAAAAGCTGTGTAAAACAACTACTTGTTTTTTTTTAAACTTGAGACACTCTCTGAACACTCTAGTTATATCTTAAGAGGAATCATGAATATTTCTTCACACATCAACATCTCCCTGCATTACATGATTTTATACCATATTTCCTACTCTGCCTTTTCCTCTGTCATCTCCTGGTTGCCTATAAGAAGTGTAGCTGATCTAGGTCCTTGAAATAATAATTTTTAAGAGCTTTTGGTGGCATACCTAGGAAAAAGTATTCTCATAGCCACATGTTCATAACCCACCTTCACAGAGCTATAAATACATTTGTAGGGCTCCAAAATTCTCACAAAAGCCCACTTCTCATACTTACCCACTAACTCAGTGATTCTATTATTTGTTACCATTTCTATGAAGTTGCAAGCATGTAAGTTGGACCTACTGATCTTTAGCTCTTGTCACCAGTAAGGGAAGTCTTTATAAACACAGATGTCACACTTCCTACCTTCCACTCCCCCACTACTGCTATTAATGTAAGCAGTAGCTTACTCCACAGTACATAATTCAACAGTTTTTGTAGAGGAGCTCTTTCAGAAGCCTGAAGAGGACTATTCAAAGGAACATTTAGAAACTCCGAAGGAACTGACTTAAAACAGGGAGTTCCAAAGGTTCCTCTAAACCTGCCTGGTTTTAGAAGTCAGTCATCTGGCTTTGCTCTAGGCTTTGCATATTTCTTACAATTTATTTTGTCAAGATTTTTCACACATGGAACCACTTTGGTTGATATTTACCAGGTTTTCCTGTAGATCATTATTATTACAACCTAGGTCAGTAGTAAAGATCATGTTAAAATGAAAGTTGTATTGTCACACTCTATCAATAACACTTTAGCAGTAATTGTTGAAAACATCTCTGTTTTGATTGCTCTGGGAGTGAAGCCAATGGCTAATCTTTTAGTAACTGGTTTGGATCTAGCATATATTCTGCACTGCTAATGAAACTAAGCAGATGAGTGACTCTTCCACAGCAGTTTTCATTATAAGAAAATCTTGGCCATATATAGACACTATGATCAAAGATAATTCTTCTCTAAAATACTTCTGATCTGCATCTGCTCTTAATGATATGATTATTTTTTTCAGATCAAGGTTGTCACCTCTATCCTGATCTAAAGGGTCCTAATGGACCTTTAGCATTCTTTGTCTGAATCACTGCGCTCACAGTCTGATAGTCAAGGTCCCAAGGGTGTTTCTTCCCAAGGTGCTTTCTGTTGGCCGACTTAAACTTTTCAGGACTTAAGAGCTTTTTGAAGTTAATATTTACCAGGAGCCTCCAGAAAGTACAAGCATTAAGTAGTGTTTTGCACACTCACTTCTACCAGAGTAGTAAACTGATTCAACTTGCCTTCCCATTTACTGAGCTCATTTTACTGAACAACAACTCCATCAAAATGCCAAACATCTACTCTTCATTCTTTTCAGCACTGGGGCCTGTTTAGCATTTTTAAATTCTTAACCTCTATCTTTTGCTCTTTTGAAGTCTTGGAAGATTGCTTCTTGATATGGTAGCAGTACTTAGTTATTTCTGATAAAATGCTGTATTAAAAATTACTTTTTGTAACTATTTGAATATTGTTGTGCCATGTGTGGGAGAGAATTTAAAAAATGCCCTTCTTTGACACCCACCCAGCACAAGAGAAATGGTTTAACACAGTAACTTTAATCACAGACAGACACGCTAACCTAATTGAGCTTTATTTCACAAACAGTTGGAAATCCTCAAAATGCAGATATTTTTAATATATTTCAATAGGTTCTCTTTAATTTTCATGGCTTTCCTCCTCGGCAGAGAGTACAGTCAGTTACTAGTTTTGCTCATTCACTCCAAATTTCTGACATTATCCAATGTAACCAGCAGTTTTCTTATGCAAATACTCATTGTTCTCAGTATGTTTCCCCTTCATACAGCTTCTCGTTTCATGGTAATCACACAAGACATTTTTCTTCTTAAAAATCACACTGTACCAACAACAAAAAGAACATAAAAGAAATCCAAGAAAAAACTCCAAGAAAAAACAAGAAAAAATGACATGAAAGGCAATGGGACATCCATTTATCAGTTTCTATTCCATGAAAACATTGATCATACAGGATTGTTTATTTTTTGTCTCTTTTTTCCTTCTCTTTTCCTTGTGAGATATACTCTTAGAGCAAAGTCTACTCTCTTCTAAGGTTGCAAAATTATGATTCCATCCATCTCTGTCCAACTGAATTAAATGCGATGTCTCAAAGGCATCAATATTTCTTTCCAGAAAAAAGAACATTTTGGTTTAAGACTGGTTCTCATTCATTTAGATGTCATGATGAACCGCTACTGGTAAGAGGTAATCTGGGAAAAAATAAGCTCAATTCTTTTTATGAAGACTGTAAAGTTCTTTAGAAAGAAGGAAAGGTGTGTATATGCCTCTTTGTTACTGCTTTAGCATTAAATATTCAGCTCCCATCTGGTTCTTTATTCACAGCCTACTTTGGAGAAATGGCTAATCATCACAAAAGTAAAAATGCACCTTTCACTACTAGCAGGTTTTCTGAAATACATTATTTCTGTAATATGTTTAATAAAAATGTATTTTTTTTTACTGTAAAGGATATATATATCAGATCATATGTAAATATACAAGTGCACAAGTGTATGAAACTTTACTCATGTCTGATCCTAAACTATTTATGAGAAAATACCGAAATATCTTATCAAACCATCAATATTTCAGTGTGGAAAAAAAACAAATCACACCAAACTTGCAATAGCTGCACATAAAGTAATCTACTCTGCTCACTTTGTAGGTCTAAAAAATAAAGTTTTTACACACAAGGAATGATTCTTTCATGGAGTTGTCTATGAAACTAAATGTGAGTAACATTACCATGTGGACTAAACTGTCACAAAATTGAAATTAAGTTCTTCCGCTAGGTTAATGTTAGGCAACTAAACAGATGCCTACAGCAGACTTTTCATAATGAAAAACTTTATAATCACAACTAAGTCTGTAATTTGAATCATTTTATGCAATACCATTAAAAACCAAGACTCTGTCAGAAACAGAGATGGAAAAAAAAAGTTACTGCTCGTTCTGTGATTTCCTGGAAGGATATTAAAAGTCTTTCAAAATGAACCAAGCATTTGTAACACAGACACTGTAGGATTAGGAAGACTGTAGGATCAAGCATCCCAAAAAACAAAACGGAAATGCTTTTTGAGTTATGGAAAGTGGATGAAGGTAGTAATTTCAACCGTGCACACACCTACCTCTCTTAAATGTAAGTATTGAATATGTGCCAACTTAATTTCTTTTCAGTAAATTGGAAGTTGCAAAGAACATTCCACTTTTACTGGGATAACAGTGAGATTCCAGGAGATATTACACGTTAAAAGACTTTGAATGAGATAGAAGCAGAAAGCTCATTAGGTAATATATTGAAACCAAACACCATTCCCAACTGTAGTAAAACAGATACTTTCAAGATCTCAAGACTATAAATGCCCACATGCCTCCTTAGGTACCTGTGCAATTAGCCTGATTTTCCAAAATTACTTTGGACATAACAGGCTTCCTTGATTTTTGCTGACCATCTATAAATTTAAGCCAATTTCACATAAGTTGCTCAGCTTTTTTTTTTTTTTTTTTTCATAGCATTCCTGTTTGGAAATCCCATCCTCTCCTTGAGTTGAGCTCCTTACTCAAGAAGCTGACTGTCAAAATGTGAAGCTATACAACCTATATGTAAATAAGTCTGTACCACACAATGAGCAGGAATATCGAAGTAGAACATGTCTGCTTACCTTTGCCTTGCGGAAGTGGTAGACTACCAGCATGCTTATGAAGTCCAGCAACATACAGAGTGTTTGGAATGAGATGATAGCCAGCCGTAAATACTTATCCTCCTGTGCATAGCAGGGAGAATTGTCTGTACAGTAAGAACATCCTTCCCTGCAGGGTAGGCAGGTGTACAGTTCCTCTGACAATTCACCACCAGAAAAGCGATTTTCTGCATCCTTTCCTGAAAGTGTCAAAGGGGTAAGGGGAGACACCTTTAGTTGTACAGTGTGGGCAGTTCATCCATACCAGAGCAAACCAGTCCTCTGCTGACTCTCCTTCCCTCCCTGTTGGCCCTCTTTCATTAAGTTCCAAAATGGCTTGCCAGGCCTGCTTTTGTCATTTCACCTTCACTTGTTAGGTTCAGAAAATGCATACCAATTTAGACATGAGGGACGTGAGCTTTTTAAATGCCAAAAGCTTTCCTTTTGTTTTAAAAACGGGCTAAATCTGTGCAGGAAATTCTCTGAAGGAGCCTTCTGAGTGGGGAAAAAATTACATCAAAGATTTGGGAGTAAGGAAAGGATTTTACACAGACAGACGAAGAGCAGACTCATTAACTACTTAACGTACACAATACAAGCTCTGACCCTTTTCTGAATTGTTCCTCAATTTCATAAGGATGCTATCTAGTGAATTAATTAGCTTCAAATTAGATAAAACCCCTATTAATCAACATTTGTTCAGCATGCTGATGCATGACCGCACTTTTCTGTCCCCAAAGCAAAACCAGTGCACTTACAGTAAGATAATTTTCTATCGTTCACACAGCACACCAGGAAATTTGGAAAACCTGTCATCAAGTTAATACTTTGTCTACAAAAATCAATTACTCTTGAGCTTCCTTCTCATCCATCCAGTGAATTCACCAACAGAGCACACAGGAGGATTCCTACTTTTACTGATCCATGAACACTTGTCTGTAACCCCTTGCAAGACTGCTTACCCTACAGGCAATTTATGGAATAAAAAGGTGAAAGAAAAAGGAGACAAAAAGGAATAATATTAAATATGAAGGAATAATAATATTAAGGAATAATATTAAGGAATATGAAGGAATAATATTTAAAAAAGAAGGAATTTGCTGAAAATGTGTAATAGAAGTAAGACAGGTTCAGGAGTTGCCAGAAACAGGAGAACGTGGCTGAAGACAAATCAAAGTGTGATAACTTCTCTCAGTTTTCACAAGGCTAGATAATTGCTCCAGTATCTTTGACCAAAATCCTTATCCTCCGACAGCAAAAGCAGTAAATCATGCTTTGTTTAGTCTTAATTCAAGAGACAGCCTATTCCATACTGGCCATTCATACTGGCTTATGAAACTCTCTCCAGAATTTTAGCTTGAAACCTTTGATGCAGAAAGTTATCTACAAGGGTAATTATTTCTTGCTTTCTCAAATCTATGTACAAATCTACACGAGCACACATCTGATGACAGGCAAAGCCTGGGAAAGTGACAAAGAGCCTGTATACCCAAGTTTGTTCATTTGGCATGCCATTCCAGCAGGCCTGTGCTCCTCATCCTCAGTGTAGGATGCTTTGCTCCCACATCCTGCAGTGGGCAGAGAACAGGCTGGTATTTCACATGAGGGTTGTGGATTTCTCTTTGGAGCTTTACTGAGCAAAGATGTTGGAAACTTGAATATAGCAGAGTAGTGCTGACTCATGCTGGTAGCCAGTTTTTCTTAGATCTCGTGTCTTTTTGACCCAGACTGTGGAGGCAAGAATGGAAATGTTGGAAAAAAACCGGGCATCCCAAGAAGGATGAGAATCTCTTAAGGAACACTAATTCTGAAGGTATCCTAGGATTGGAACTTCTTTTCAGAGCAAACACCCACACACCTCAGCCTATTATAATTCCAAGAGCTTTGCCAGAAATCACCTTCTCCATATCTAAAATCACATCTGTTTTCTAAATTTCAGCTAGAGCAACAGACCCACACCATCCTCTGCCAGAGACAGATGTCAGTCTCCCACCTCCCATCTCTGTATCTGAATCAAGAGTGCACTGCCTACTGTCAGAAGTTTCCACTTCATTTACTCAAAATCTGCACTCATGTCAACCTGCCTTTCTACCACCCACCTGTTCCTTTGTAATTTCCATAAAAGATTGCCCTTCAATTAGCCCATCTCCAAAAAGATTCTTTAGTCTCTTTAAAAACTCCCATTTTTTACCCATACACGAGACATTTGTTAATGTGCTTTTATTGTGATAACTATATAAATCATGTTCTGTGTAAAAGCTTAACCACTGAAAAAAATAATTAAAACCAAAAGTTTTAAGATTACTTAAGTCATAGATACTACATGAATATGGCTTGATTGTTTTGCATGATCCTGAACTTGATATTCTTACTTTATTTCTGAAATGTTCAACTTTTAAAAGTTGTTGAAAAGAATTTATAATTCATTTTAACAAGCATTTTATTATCTGAGTCATGCATGGAAGCTTCTTCTACAGTGATTAAAGCAAATAAACAGTTGCATGTTGCAGGAAATATCCAAAGGCTATGACTTCATAACACAGCAGCAAGCCTTTGCATAGATGTGTCTGGTGTCCTGCTCTGTGCTGTATACAAAGGAAGATCATTGATATGCATCTTCTGCACTGCCAGCTATGACTGATGATCTGGTTAGTATCTTTTGACTTTGAAACTATTCTTCATTGTAGCTATTATAAGAAGGATTTTTTAAAATTGGATCTACTTAAGAATTTACACAATGTGATAAGGAATTATTTACAATCCCTATCTTCTCCTTTCTCCTCCTCCTTCCCCCCCAAAAAAAGAAAGAACACTTCTCAGACCCCTAAAAGGAGCTCTCAGGAAAGAACCATTCATCGTATTTGCCCGTGACTGAGAGCTTGCTTGGCCACCCACACCCTTGCCCTCACTCTGTCTGGCCCTGTCCCCTCACCAAAGTCAATGTAAGGTCAATCCAAACCATAGACAGTCCAAGCCAAGCATGAAGTTACTGCCTCTTGAGGCACTGCTAGAGATTTCCCTGTGCCACACTTCCTCCTATCTCAGCAGCTCTGTGGGATTATACATGCCTCCTACAGTGAAGAAAACCATTTTTTCCTCCCCAAAGATGGCAAAAGACTTCAAACACTGGTAAAGCAGACAGACAAGAAGCCAATTCTTCTTCATGTAAGGCAGGAGCAGTTTTAGCACTGCCACAAATGAGATAGAAAAGACTGATTGTGCTGCACTTCAAACTGAGGATAAGGAAGGTATAAAAAAGTATTGTCATCAAGGAAAAAGAAGAAAAAAAATGCAGTAACAACAACAAAAAAAAGTAAAGCAGAAGGAGAAAAGAACAAATAATTGGTTGAAAGTAGGAATAGGGGTGTAAAATAATGTGAAGTATAATAACAAAAATTTCTAGTACTGGAAAAATAAAGCAAAAAGCTTAAATGCTTCAGCTATTTCCCTTCTACTACATTTTTTTCCCAAGTTCTTTCCTCTTCTAACCCAATCTTATTTTTCTACCTGATCGGCCCATCTGTTTTTGAATTGGTCTCCTGAGGGTAACTCTTCATCAGCTTTCATTCTGCTAAGCACACTGCTACACAAGGAGTTCCTCAGCAGCTGTGACATTGCCAGCTGAGGTCTTCCTGCAAAGTAAGAACAGCACTGTAGACTGCCAAGTGCCAGGGCAGGGATTGCTACAATCCCAAAGTCATCCTAGACCTCAGTGAAAACGTAGTCCTGAGCAGAAAAAATACTGATCCTGTTCCTGTTCTAACACAGCATAAATGAAGAACAACACTAGCAGCATTGGCAATGCTGCAATAACTCAGTGTGTGAGTGTAACTGGACCTGCTAACATCAACACCTGGTCACCAGCCACAGGTATAACCCTCTCCCCAGCAAGGGATCACTGAAGTCAGTGACAGCCTTCATACAATGCAAGATCTGCAACATGTGAGTTCTGCTGAAGAACTAAAACCAAAGGACAGGGGTAAAAAATGGAAATTCCCATTCAACTGGAAACTCCTCTTGAGACTTTTTTTTGTGACCATAGCACTGTTAGAGACAGTAAAGTCCTATATGTCAAGAAAAGAGGCACCTGTACTGCTTACATGTTTCTGCACAGGTTCCACATCTGAACAGGAAGAGCTGAGTAGAATCTCTGCAATATATGGATGGTGCATTGCTAGAAAATGAACTTTTAGTTTGAACAAAGAAAGCACTGCTGTTCTATTAAGGATTTTCCAATGCAAATCTATTCTACCTGTACTAATAGTGCTACGTAAAAATGAGACATTAGAAGAAAGTGCATAATCATGTACTTAAGCACTTAAACATTAATGCAACTTGCATACATGAAATACATCCTTTTCTAAAATCAATTTCTGTCCTCAAAAGAGACCCTGGAAATATGGTAGTAACTCTGTGTCCCACTACTACCCATGGTCCTCATTAACCAACACAGTAAAAACTAGAAGGTTTTGCATATTTCGGGACTGTCCGCTCTGAAGAACAAACTCACACTTGGGAGGGAAATACCTTTTTTTCTCCATGGTAGGATATCTCTGCAGATGGTCTACTGCCTAGCTTACTACTCACTAAGAGAACAGTCTAAATTTCAGCTGTGCACCTGTCCCCCACCCACTTCAAGAACCTACAACATGAGCTCTGCAACCTCCCTGAGAGCAGCAACACACGCTGCTTTAAGTCAGAAAAACAACTAATCTGCAGAATGGTTCCTAATGGAGGACACACTTATGCACTTTTTACACCTCCTGGCATTCAGGGTCCCAGCTGAGTTTGCAGAGGAAGTAAGTAAGTGTCCCGGTCTGAGAGTACCAGGACAAAAGCTGCCCATGGCCACACTAACCTGGCCAAAAGGAGGAGAGACCCACATGGACCAGTCACAGCTCTCCCACCTTGGTGAGTGGCAGAAAATGGCTCCTCCCAGATCCCCCTCTGGCTGGTAGACTGGGTTTGCTTGTCATCCCTCCCTCTGCTCCTGCAGGCTGTTTTCTTGCCAGAGAAGAAAAGCATTCACAGAGACAAGTGTTGCCTTCTCCTGCTTCCCTGAGTAGGAACCGGCTTGGCTGCTCCAAGGCCGTTGCACACTGTCCCTGGGACCCTGGATTTGGGCATCATCATCTGTTGCTAAGTCCAGTTTGCGGCTTAAAGTCTCTCCCTTATTCCCCTTATCTTCCCCTGGGTGGGCAGTGGGGAGAATAACAGCAAGTATCTTTCACCCAGTTATTGGCCAAAACTGTGAAAATAACTAATTTTTAAGCCTTCCCACCAGCAAACTGTGTAGAGTGTCGAACATCACTGCAAAGCCCTTTTATACAACTTCCTTCCCTTCCCTTCCCTTCCCTTCCCTTATCTCATCTTGAGACCTGTCTTTCCTGCCTCTTTATGTTCTTCCCTAAGGAATGCTTTCTAAAGGATTAAACATTTTCTCATTTTCTTCCACTCTTTTATGATCAGACTTCACAAACCCCTTCTCTACAAAGAGATCTTCAGGTCAGACATTTTGTGTCAAAACTGCTTGCAGGATTCATGTCTAGAAATCCTGTATTAGCATAATTTTGAAGCTTCAAATACATACTGATGTTGTCTTAACTGTGTACCTTTTCCTTTTTTCTTTTCACAGAATGCAGCTGGGTGAGTTCCTTTGAACCACTGTTTTTTCTCCCATTACGTCAGTCATTTCCAGTCTCACACTAGCTGTCTCACTCTTCACTTTTTGAAATCACCTATAGAGTTTGGCAGATTGAGCTGCATCCAGATAAATTAAAGCAGCTCTTTATTATTGACTGTTTAAAAACTCATGTTTAAGTTAGCTCACAGTAATACCTGCTGAAATCAAAGCGGTCCCTGATCATGTAATCACATGCTGTGTAACATCAGCATAAACAACCACTTTCATGAGACAAATTTCACTTTATGCTCCCTATTAAGAAACCAAATCTACCTTCAGCCAATCCAAAGTAGCTATATAGGATCCTCCTTCTACAGTAAATGGGGAAAAAAAAGGTTATTTGCCTAAAGAGTTGCTTTCCATGTAAAGACAAATTCTGTCTTTCTAAAGCAGCAGAAATTACTCTGCAGGGGAGCCACACTCTCACTGCTGACTGTAGTTGAAACTAGGTGACTAATACATACCATGCATACGCATTTTAGACAGCTGATGTGAGATAAAATGAATTTCATCCCTAATGATCCCTAGTGCTGTTACAGTCTCTAGCCACATTATCTGTGTTCTGTGGCATTTGGTATGACAAAAATCTAAGAATAATTTTTTTCATACACTCATTCAAGGAGTTAAATCCCAGCTTCACTGTAACTTGTGGCACTGCAGGAACAACCACATATAATCCTTATTCTATCAAAAGATTCACACAGCCCAGAGAAAAGGCACTATCAGAAGGCTGCCTTCTGTGACACTCTACAATATGAAAAGAGAAGGGAAGCAAACACTCACCAGATAAACTGTTAAACATACTATGCTATTTATGTTACATGTATATACACAGAAGATATGACATATAGATATGTATCAAGATATACTGAGTTAGGATTAAGATAACTTGGGCTATCTATATCCAAATCTGATCAAATCAATAAAAAATAGGCCAACCCATGATATACATCAAGGTATTTAATATCTGGGATTCAGGGCTGTGAACAAATAGGGAATTCTAAAGCCTTCCCTAATATTAAATGTTACTTACCTTTCATCTATAACTCCTGTCATTTCTTATGTAAGAAAGCAGGAGTAAGCTGTATTTGCATTTCTTGAGTCCACAAAAAATAATTTATTTAACCCAATTATCAAGTACTCTGTAGCACGGGGACATACTTTTTCAAGTACCACACCATATAATTCTGCACATGATTTATGACTACAACATGTATCTGTGAGTATTACAGAGCTGCATGTTAAGTGCTGAAGACATTCTAGAGGCATTTCTATAGTAGAACAGGAACAGCTATGTTCACAGAAGGCAGGATGTACTATACACAGCCCAGGACCAAGCTTGGTGAAAGTCACTTATTGCCATTCCCTGGGCATCTCCTACAAACTGCTCTGGCAACTGAGAGCTGATGACATGAACCTTTGGCTAAGGATGGGGCAGAGAAGCTGGGGATGGTATTCACTCGAAAGCAGGAGGCAGAGGAGGATGCCTTGTCACACCTCCAGGCAACACCTCTACACCTGTGACAGCAGCATGTGTTCTACTAGTGTAACTGCAACAATCTTGACACAAAACCTGTGCAGAAATTATGCTTCGGTCATATGATGAAAGCAAGAAACATCAACTTTGGGCATGCAGTTTATATATTTTCCCTGCTGAGAATCAACTGAGTTCTGTTTCCCTTATTGAGGGAAACTCAGTCTAACTACCCTACAACGTGAGTCCTGGGCAAGTACAGGCTGTATGTGATCTGTATTGTACAGCCAACCAGACTCTCAGGCCTGATCCATCTCTAATCCCTCATCAGTAAGTGTTAAGAGTTTAGATGCTCCTTTCGATTCTCCTTTGCAAAGGAAGTAAATTGAAAACAATTAAAGCCTTCACAAAGGTAGAGGTTAAGGCATTCTGGTGTACCCCGACCAAAGAGAAAATTACTAGATCAAGTTCCTCAATTACTTTTGAATAAGCACAAATGCCATAAATGGCTGTTTCCCCATAGCAAGACTTCCTTTCATGTTTTCCAATTTATTTACAAATCAAGCATTCTTCAATGTGGGTACATTTTCCAGGATCCTCAAGAGTATCACAAATGATAAACCAAAGGGTTGGAACTCCTCAAGAGATTATATAATCCAAGAGTTGCAAACCACTGGGATTTTACTGCATAACCCTGATGAGGATAAAAAGGAACACTGCATTATTAATGCTAGTTCTGTTTCTTTTTTTTTTTTTTTTTTTTTAACTTGAGCAAAGACACTTACTCTGAAAGCTGTTCACTGAGAAGATGTTTGGATGATAGAATCCAGCCTTGCAAACACATTTGTAGGCTCCAAGCACAAATCCAAGGCCTTTAATTGGCATGCACTGTGAGAAAAATAAAAAAGAAAAGTCATGCAGATGATCATACAATGATATACTCAGATGTATATTCAAGCATAAAAACATTAGAGGACACTGTGAGCAGACTTCCAGTTTGATGGTATTTTCTCAGTGACTTTTCCCATAGTCACATACCACTCCCATTTTTTGTCTTGCTGTTCAGCACCAGCAAACGGCAAAGACAACTATCATCAAGTTGGTCCCACTGACAAACCAGCAAGTGTCAAATTTTACTCTTGTACTTTGGCTCTAGGTGGGAAGCAAGAACAGATATGCTTTTTCCTAGAGAGCTTCCAGTACTTTTCCACAGGAAAGCAGGTGGGGTTCAGATGGTTGGAGCTCAGGCTATGTGATGAAAAACGTGGACACTTACAGGCAAGTCATCAATCTTCTGCAGGCAGCACGTGCTGGTGCCCCTGCTGCAATGGCAACCACAATGGAGTGGAGATTAACCCAGTCAAACCAAAGCCAACAACTGGTTAGAGAAAATGGCTGCAGATTTAAATCTGACCCAGGTGAAAGAAAGCAAACATACGCCAATGGGAGTCCTATGCTTCTGAGCTCCTTGTCCTTTTTCAAGGAAGTAATACATGAAACACGTTTTAACTCCACTTTTAATTTTTACATCAGGACAACCACAGCAAATGTATTACAGTGACAAAACATCTACTGTCAGACCATTTCTGTACAACCAGCTGCCTAATACAAAGTGAAGAAACAGTTCAATAACATAAAGGTAGAAATACTAGTAAAATTATTTTCCCTCAGTACAGCTTATTTCACTGTGTCAGATCAAAGTAGGCTACTCTATTAGAAGCCTGTCCCAACAGTGGTTCTCCCCCTCTACTCCATTCTCATGAGACCCTGCTGCCTGGAGCAGTGTGTTCAGTTCTGGAGTCCCCAGCAAAAGGACATGGAGCTGTTGGAGCCAGTCCAGAGGAGGGCCACAAAGATGATCAGAGGGCTGGAACACCTCACCTATATAGAAAGTCTGAGAGAGCTGGGGTTGTTGAGCCTGGCGATAAGAAGGCTCAGAGGAACCCTTAGAGCAGCCCTGCAGTTCCTGAAGGGGCCTGCAGGAAAGCTGGGGAGGGACTTTTGGCCCTCCCTGGAAGTGTTCAAGGCCAGGCTGGATGGGGCTTTGAGCAACCTGACCTAGACGGAGGTGTCCTTGCCTGTGCAGGGGAGTTGGAACCAGATGATCTTTAAGGTCCCTTCCAACCCAATGATTCTATGAGTCTATGATTAAAGTAGTAAAAATAAATTTTCAGGGGAAAAGCCTTTCTGGCTTCTTCTTGTAATGGGAAGGTACACACTACTCTCAGTGATTGCATTTTCTTTTTGAAGGCAAGGAAGAAAACAAGTAGCTTCTACTGAATATTACAAACACCACAACACCCCTAGTACCATAGCCATGATCCAGTTACACTGCACAAATTCTTCATGTAAAATGTGTCACGGGCTCATGAATCTGTTCTGCATTAGAGTAAATGCTATACTAATGATCTACATCCAATATTCACACCAAATAACAAGTCTATAACTTTCATTGTTGCTGATCAGTCTAGAAATTGAAAATGAACAAAATATTTCAAGCACTGTTATCTTTCCTTTGTCTATGATATTATCCTTGCTTCGAGTCTTGGGTATCTGTAATGCACACCTTCAAATACATTGGTTAAATTATGTTTCTTGCAGTCCAATAATCCCATGCAAAGGTGTAACAGGGATCAGAACATCAGTTTGCTGAAGAGAGAGAAGGAGAGAAAGCAAGCCTCAATCCCTCTACATGCAGTTTCAAACCATGAAATTTCACTGTGCTCAACGCTGCATAGAAACAGAACTATTTACAGCCTCTCTTTTTTTAAGAAATTGCAGCAGCTAGGCTGGGAAGAACACTAAATATCATGTGGTCAAAAACAGGGAAAGTGCTCCTCCTGGAAAGGAAAAATTCCACTCTTTTTACAAACAATTTAACATTTAATAGTATATTAACCAATGATTGCAAATATTAGGGTGAAAAAGGTAAAAAGTAAACTGAGAAAGTGTTTTCTGGTATCTGCACAACACACAGCAGACACACACAAGCAACTTTCACCCTTGCTCTGGCAAGCAGCATCCTGGTTCCCAGCACCCCAGTGGCAGACCCAGAGCTCCAGCCCTGCAGAGCTGTGTGAGCACAGCCACGGCAGCTCATCCTATCAGTGTGGGTCTCAGACCTCCAGGAACACCAAGACTCACAACAATATGCATAGACACAGGCAGTAAAATACTAATCTGATACTAAGTTACTTCAGGTTTCATTCATATAGAATTTAGCACTGAAAAATGCAATGTGCAAAAAATACCAGCCTTCACATAAGCAAAGGAAGCATAAAACTGACTTTCAGATTTCATTGTAACTGTGAAAGCTAAGCTCTGGGAATAAAACCACCGTATTCTGTAGTATTTTTTCTTCATTAATGGCCATAAGCTTTTTAAAAAATCATGCTTTACTTAATTTGTAAGAGCAGCTACCTTAGGTTAGACCAGAAGCTCCTTTCAGGCTTGTATCACATCTCCAAAGCAAACAGTGAAAGATGCAGCAGGGTGGCTATGGAGTGAGCTATATGCCCTTCAGGACATCACACTCCTAAATTGAATTTGCATTGCTTTATCTTCCAGGCATTAGTATTTATAGATGGCTTGGTTACAATTCAGAACAGCTTTAACATAATCTTTGCTAAAAAGATAAAAATAGGCATCTGTACAATCCACACAGCAAATTTACTTCAGCTGTCTGCTCCCTGGCTTGCAAGCTTATACCTTCAACTTTACCATATTTGTAAAATATAACAGCTCCCAAGTTTAACATAGCATGCTTTTAATTATACAGTCAGCTTAATAAATAAGATATTCAATTAATATCTACCTTGAAATTATTTCTAAATAAAGAGGTCCTCAACAAACACAGATACATCATCTAAATTAGTTTTAAAAGGTTGTGTTGGTTTCATTTTTATGCTGCTTGTTGTAAAAGACAAATTTGGAAAAATCCATTATGATAAAGACTATATCTCTTGGAAAGAAGGTAAATTCTTCAAACAACCTGTGCCATTGCTTTGGAAGTCTGAGCCAAATCTTCTGGCATAAGAGAGGAAAAGCCCTTTATCTGACCAGCCAGAAACCAAGTGACAGAATATTCTGCAGGTACCCAAAGCATCCCCACTAGAAAACAGAAGGGAAGAACAAGGCAAAAAGAAGCTAGTAGTTTAAAAGAGACAGCATGTGGCATCATGTCCCACATGTAACTACTAAATAATACAAATAAGCCCATGTTTCTTTGCTCTGGTTTGGGACAGCCCATAGGGAATGTCTAGAAAATAATACATACACAAGAGTGATTTTGTGCCTGGCATGTGATGGCAGCTGGAACAGTTTGTTCTGAGAGACCTTGAGAGCCTCCTGATCCTGTTTACCATGTTGCCAAGCATACTCAGACTGAAAAAAATGAATGAAGATAAAAGTCAAAGTGACATTCTGCCTGCCGAAGTCAATGACAACTCTGCCATTGAAAAGGTTTTACCTGTTGTATTTTCTCACTTCACTTCTCTTAGAAGAGCAAAAAAGCGTGTTTGCAGCCTGCTCAGAAGTGAACAGTGAGCACATCCATTCATCCAAACTGCTGGTGCACCCATCACCTGTGTGTCTCACACTTGTCTACAGACAGCTTGGAAGGCAGCCAGACTCCAAACAACACTACTCATAAGCTTTTTCTCTTCAAATACAACTTTTTTTTTTGACAGAACAGGGCTGGCCACTCCATAATTTACATTAAAGGGTTAGCTGGTGGGCCCTCCTAGTATTCTCCTGTCTTCTGAGTGCATTAGTGGAGTTAATTCTTCTTTGAATTCAACTTTCAAATGTGTTTTACAACAACAATGGACTTAAAATTATAGTGAGTTGTTTAGATCCTAAGAGAAAGCACATCAATAGCTGCTCTGATTCAGCTCAGAGCAAATGCTGCCATCACAACAATATTTGTCTCAATAGTTTTGAAGCTTCACTAAAAATTCCTTGCTGCTTTTTAATGCACCCACAATTTTTTTTTTCCTTCACTACATCCAAAAGCTTAAAGTTAACTGCTATAATCAATAGGTAATTTTGATGCATAATTCAAAGAGGGGAATAAAATGGTGGAAAACAAAGCATAGATTTGAATAAATTAACACACCACTGCTAAACCAACATTTTCTAGCCAGTTGCTGTATCAGTCACTTCTATCACATTTCCCAGCAACCATTAATTAAATTATTTCTTGACTCTTATGTTTAGGCTGATTCCACAAACTAGCAAGACATACATGATCACTTTGGAAAAGCTATTAAAAGTTTTGTGTCTATTTTCCCAATACATGCTAACTTTTTGGACCAACTGGCTGGTTCCAGGCAGTGCAATAGGGGTGAAAAACTTGCTGAAGTCCCACAAGCTTACTGAAAATAATATCGTGGTAGAAAAAAGATACTGAATCAGTGTCTCTGCTGAGAGAGAGACTGCATAATGAGGACATACCTCTTATTAGACACTAAAGAATACTCTTGGAAATGCCTCAGTCATAAGAAAAGCTTTAGCTGGCCCCAGTGCCTTCTTAGACATCAGGTAACAGCATAAGAAAGTGCATCAGGAAGCCAGCTATAGTAATATTCCTGTTCCTTGGCATTAGGTCCATTTCTAGGACAAGTTGACCCATTTTTCCAGAAGTGTTTACTACTCAGGACTGCCAGAAGTCTTGAGTTGAGTCCAACTATGTGAAGTTGAATAAATGATGCTCCTAGTCACAAAATAATTTCTTACTGAAATTCTACTTTGTGTGAAACATGACTGAGAAGACAGCTGCATAAAGGATACAAAATGAGCACATAACATTTTTTATCACAAAACACAGTCTGACATGGTCTATTATATGAATCTGTTTGCTTCTTGGTCATTGGTGATTCAAAACTCCC